CCCTGTGGCCTCCACATGCTACCCCCGCCTTCCAAATACAGAGACTCCAGCCCTTTCCCATTTCACTTACTTGCTGAGGGCAAAGTCCAGGATCTCAGCTGTGTGGCCACGGTAGTCAGTCAGCAGGCGGCCAGTCCGAGCATCCCAGAGGCGCACGATGCCATCCAGGCTACAAGTGTAAACCACGGCGGTGCCCGCCTCCCACAGCAGCTGCACGATGCCCGACTGCACGGGGACAAGAGGCAAGGTGGAGGTGAGAGGAGGAGAGCTAGGAGGCACCTCAGGGAGGGAAGGTGGGAACATGGACCATAGACAGGACCAAGCAGGAGCCAGGTCTGGGGTGGATGCTGACAGAGGCCTGGGCCTCCCCACAGGTGCCTGTACCTGGTGCTGACATTGGTGCCTGAGGGTCTGCGTAGACAGGTCATAGATGGCCAAGGTCCCATCCAGGTAGCCAACAGCTGCCAGAGGCATCCTGGGTAGAGGGGAGCACCAAAAAGCTCACAGAGGGACCTGGGCCCACATGCCCTTCGTCCCTTCTTGGTCTCCCCGCCCAGGCCCCTCCCCAAGCGCAGTCCCTCTCATCTCCAGGCAGCCTCCAGGCCTAAGCCTTAGCTCACACTCACACACTGCAGAAGCCCAAGGATTCCACTGAGTTGGACTCGCTCTCCTCCCCTTCTCCCAGGTTGGGCTGGGAGGCCACAGACTCAGGCCTGAAAACACCCACCACCTATGAGCCAGAGGAAAGCATCAGAGAAGGACCTAGAAACATGGTCCTCTAATAGAGTAGGAAGGTGGAGAGACAGGGAGGTTGAGTGAAGGGTAAGAAAGGGAGGGGAGAAGAGCGGAAGGCTCCACAGCAAGGCTTCAGGTCCCACTCACCTTGCCGGTGGTGGCACTGACCAACTTGGCCTGGCAATCCACAGAGCCAGTTAGGATCAGGCTGCCATCCTGGTTGGTGGCAACACAGGTCAGAGGGCCCTGGTGACCCTCAGTCCCTAGGATGGAGCAAAGGGATAAGTTAGACTTCACCCTGTCCCCTGAGTCCTGTCCCAGGTCTTAACCACCACCACCCCCCCCCCCAAAGGCCAAGGGTAACACTTCCCCCAACTCTGATACCTTTTAGTACATGGATAGGGTTTCCCTGCTTCAGGTCCCAAATCCTGATGGTGCCATCTTCATAGCCGACCACAGCTCTCTTCCCTAAAGGGCCAAAAGTACAGATGAAGAGAGGAGGACAGACCACACACTCAGACATACCCAACAAGGGAATTGGGGGTATGGGTGGGAGCCAAGAGAGGGAGACAAAGTGAGGGGACAAACACACCCAGGACCCAGCAGAGGAGACTCAGTTCAGGATGGTAAAGAGGGAGCTGACTGCTCTGGGCCTATGAGTTCAGTGCTGCTGAGCCCGCACTCTGAGCCTTGCGCTCAACCTCTCTGCACTCAAGAAAGGACACTCAGGGGAGCTTATCTCACCATCAGGGAGGACTCGGCCACAGGTGGCTGGGCAGTTGGGACCCTGGAAGGTCTTGCAGTCACCACTGGGGACCTTCCACATCCAGGTGTTGCCATCAGCAGTGCCCGCCAGTAGGATAGGTGCCCGAGGGTGCCACTCCATCCACTGGACAGGGAGGAAGAGTCAGCAGGGAGGCCCATCACCCCATCCCACCTAGGAACCTGTCTTCTGAGCCCCACCAAGCTGCTCCTGCTTGAGTCAGGGGGGACAGTCCAGGTAACAGGCACAGATATTCTCGCTGTACCTTGAGAGTGCACTGGCTTAGGGATGGCTTGGTCTAGTGAAGGTGGAGGCGAAGCTCCAAGCTCTCACCCACTACCAGCCAAGGCCCTGAGTGGAATCCACCCTAATCACCTCCAGGTCTCCTGCTTCAAAGGACCAGACCTCCTCCTTGGTGTCCACCTGCCACACTTTCAAGAGGCCACTCATGTCCCCTGTGGCCACTAGGGTGGAGTCATGGCTGAAACCAGCACAAGTCACAGAGTCCTTATGGCCTTCAAAAAAAAAACAGAAAGAGAACATCAGGGCACCTAGTGCCGGGGGCACATGACCCAGGTATCTGGCCTCTGAAAGGACCAGCTGAGAGAAAACAACAGTGGATCCCAGCAGAATAGGTGACCAAATTCATTGTAGTTGCAGGAATCAACACACCCAGGTCTCCCCACAGAAGACAATGCTGGCCCTCCATTCAACCACAGGTAGCCTAGGCCTAGGTCTTACCCTTTTGTCCATTCTGACCTCTGCTTAGAATACCCACATCCTTCCCTCTTCCCAAATACCCCGACATCAGCCTGTGTCTCTCCTCTCAAGCCTTTCCCAGACTCCCTTGCCCAATTAGTGCCTCCTCCCTCCCCTATATCCACAGCAGACTATGCTATTCCTCTTCAGAGTCAATAAATGGCTGTGAGATGCACAACTGCTGCAGGCTAGCCCCAGAGGACTTCCAAAGGGACACGACCTCAGCGGGGCCCCCTCACCTGCACACTCAAAGAGCAGCTCCCCATCGCTGAGCCTCCACACGAAGGCTTTGTCATCTTCACCCCCCGTCACCGCCAATGCGTTGGTCTTGGGGTCCAGGCTCACACAAAACACAGATGCTGTTCCAAGAGATATTTCACAAGTAAGGGGAGGGGGCTCCCACCTAGGGTTCTGTCCTTCGGGACCGGCAGGAAGCCCACCCCCTTCCACCCAAAGAAGCACGTCTTTCCTCCTGGAAAAGAAGGATGCATCCAAGTTCCTTCTAAGTTTCAAGCATCAGATGGTTGGAGAAACCCCTCCCCGAGCTCGCCACGCTCCAAATCCTTCTCCAGGGCAGATGCCCCCTTAGGATGCTGCACCCTTCACCACCCGACATGGATGCCATGGACAACAGGAAAGTGTACGTGCAGGGCTTACAGCTCTCCGCATGGGATGCCACCAGGCTGGGTACAGAGGGAGGAGAACATCATGCTACTGGCTCATTAAGAGCTCACATTGGAGGATTACATAAAATATGCTCAGTGTAACTTACACCAAAGTAATGTTTTAAAAGAAAACTAAGAGCCAGGGAGCTTAATACAGATGGTAAATTGGTAAGGAGCCAAGGTAAGATTTGAACACAGGTTTCTCGGCTGACTCCAGGGGCCAGGCTCCCCGCCATGCCACCACACTGCCCCCTGCCCGCGAGTTCCTCCAGACCGGGGCCAGCGGTTCCCTCAGGATGCGATGCTCAGATGCCCGCCCGGCCTGAGTGTAGGACGGATCTCCGCAGAGACCTACCTGAGTGCAGTGCAAAGGTGACCTCGCTGTCGTCTGGGCCCTCCATGCTGCCCACCACCCCTTCCTGGGGTTCCAGAACCCAGCCCTCCTCGTTGCCCTCTTCCTCTTCCTCCTCTTCCTCAAAGTCCACATCTTCCATCTCCTGGGCTAGATCATCTGCATTGGTCAGAGGGTCAAAAAATGGGGCTCAGCAGGCGGGAAGAGGGATGGAGGCAAGTGTGGGGAGGGCTGGGGTGCATCATGTGGCAAGAGAGTGAGGGCAAACGAATGGGATGAAGCGAGGGCGAGAAGGTGTGTGGGACGGGGACAGGAGCCGGCTGCGTACCTGGCGTTGGCCAAGGACTGGAGAGGAGGACGGAGGGGATGACGGGAAGGGGGTGTGCGAGGGGAAGGGCCGGAGGAGGCGTCAGGGGAACCCCCACCCGGCCAGGCCCGAGCACTAAGGGTGGGGGTGGGAGGAGGGGGAAGGGCGCAGAAAGTCGGTAGGAATGACCGGTAGGGTGTGGAGGGGAGGGGGGGAAGCTAGGGTCATAGGCCAGGGGTGAGCGCCTCCTACCCCCCGGCCGGAGGACCGGCCATTCTCACCCG